CATCTTGGTGTCACATAAAACACATTCCTTGAAACATGCAAAACCCCACAAACCTGATGGAGGAATATGAAATTTCTAAAGTGCACTCTAAACTTGTACTTTAGAAAGAGGTAATATATTTAGTTTTAAATACACATACATATACAAAACAAAATATTGAGAAAACCTTTCAGGAAGAAAAATAACTTCTTAAAACTATACCAGTTTTTCTGATCATTTGTGATTTGAAGCTTGGAACTTATCTCTCCATCTATAAATGTGAAATCTTTTCCTTTGACAAAGGTTATCCTTTGAATAGCTCTTCTTTCTGAATATAATGCTTCCTACTGATGTCTTACTAGACATCATGTCTACTTTGGCAGTATTTGTATCTGACATTTTTTAGTTTTGAGGTTAAGATATTTTTATTGGCTCTCTACTTGTTACATTAACATAATTATCAATTTTTTAGATTATCTTATTTTTAAATATTAGAGTTTTAAAAACAGTTTTTAAAATATCACGTGTTCAAATTTGAGCCTGGCCAGTGTGGTTCAGAGCTTGAAATGCTGACCCAGGAACCAAGAGGTCGCAGTTCGATTCTCGGTCAGGGCACATGCCCCGCTGTGGGCTTGAACCCCAGTGCAGGGCGCGCAGGAGGCAGCCGGTCCACGATTCTCTCTCATCACAGGTGTTTCTCTCTCCCTCTTTCTCCCTTCCTCTCTAAAATCAATTACAAAAAATGTTTAAAAAATTGTTGTTCAGTGAATGCTTATTGCCTTTTGCTAGAATTAGTCGAACACAAGCTTTTATTACCTTTAGTAAAATTTAGATATCGCCTTAGAAGATACTGCATTTGCCAACAGAAAATGGTGACTTGAGAGAAGGGGAAGTGAGTTCATAAAGAACAATTGTGTTTTCACTTTCAAAACGTTACTTTTCTAGTTTTAATCAAGGAACAGATGAATAGTAAAAGTAATAAATGACATTTCTCAGTATAATCATTTAACATTAGAATTTGAGGATTTCCTTCTGCTTCGTTTCTTAGTTTTACTTACAGAAATAGGGAAGAGCTACCTATCTTTGGTGCTCCTTAAAGGAGTGAGGTTGCAAAATTTTAGTTCGTCAGGCATTGTTAAAATGTATTGATTAAAAATCTGTCTTTCATATTTAGGCTTCTACATCTGCATTTACCCAGTACATAGTCTTTCCTCTCTCTCTTTCTCTCTCCCTCAGGGAGATTATTCTCTGAATACTGAGCTAGAGTGCAAGAAATCCAATAAGCAAGAAAAGACCAAACAATGTACTCTGATTCTTGAGTGGATTATTACTGTAAATTTTTATTTCAGTATAATTAGGATACAAAATTTAGTTGTTAGTAAGGAAACTGATTGGGTTATTTTGTAGTGTTGTAGGGTGATTTCTATACTATCCAAGCAGGTCTTCATTGATTGTGAGGAGTGATGAAATAGGCAGTGAGAAGGAGTGTGCCAGTTATCAGTCTTCTTTAATGTGAGTGTCCCCACTTCGGCTTAATGTCCACCCAGGGCTCTGTCTTGTATCTCATCCAAGTGTCTATACTCACTGTTTTTCTGGCAGGGTGACACCTTTATACCTCTGTTCTATAATGCTTGATCCAAAGAGGTAAACAGGTGGGAGAGGTTGACCTGCTTTGTGACTTCTGTGCTACCCTCCAGCCAGTTATGCGTAAATTCTGCACATTGTTTCCTTCTTCCTGCTGTCTTCCACCTCTGGGCTTAGTTTATGCGGAGGACTCCAACCACTTGCAGTAGCTCTCCACTCTGGGCATGTAAGATTGTGGTTTCCCCCTCTAAACTGATTCTGACAGCTTTTCATCTCTCAGTGACTCCTCATAGTTTTAGCTCACTAAGGACATTTCTTGGTTTCTTTTGATGATTGACTTTTTTAAAAACAGCATTTTTGTTATTTGTGGGGTTAATGGAAGTTTGCTTGCAGTGCTCTTAGCCTACCATCTTGTCATATAGTCAATGATTATATTATATTTTTAGTGCAGTAAATCTGATAAAACATTTTTTTAATCTAGCAAAAAATGAAATATTTATAAAATGAATAAATTATGGTTTTTGTTTTGAAGAGTAGATGCAATCATAAATGAAGATTGGCAGTTTAAATATATAACAATGAAAACAAAACTTCAGACCAGGAATATATTTACATGAAATTGGAAAGGCATATATTTGTGATGTTGCTAGTTTTTCTTGTTTTCTGCTCTTTGGGAGAAGGAAGAAAACATGGGTTCCGAAGTCAGTGTCTACCTTGTTTAAATAACCTCAAAAGAGTCAACATTAGCCTATGCCTGTAGAGACTTATGTTGGTTGCTAAGGGAGAAACAGACCAAAAATGTTTGACAGAGCTCTGAGAAAACATCAGAAAAGGATTTTGACTACAGCTTTGGCTCAATAATTTTCATTGTTATTTCCTCACTGTTATTCTAAATTTTAAAAAATATTCTTCTAGTATAAAATAATATGTCATAGACTTTTTGGATAATATAAAAGAAGTGATAACCCTTAATCCCAGTCACAACCACTGTTAACACTTCAGTATATTTCTTTATAGTCTTTTTTAAACCATAGCTTTAAAAGAAAATTAAAGTAATATGGTATTGTTTTTCTTCCAGTCCAAAAGTAATACCTACTCAATGAGAAAACTTGGAAAATAAAGACCAGCATTAAGGAGAAAAAAACAAAAAACACTCATAATAACCACCCAAAGATAACCACAATTGAAATTTAGTGTATATCTTTCCTGTATTTTTTATGAATATATGCAAATAATTTTTTCATTATTAATATGGTGTCATAATCTAGTACTATTTTGTACTTCGCACTTTTCATTTGCAGTATATTGTGAATGTTTTTGTATGTTAGTAAATATTCTTGTATATACTTTTTAGTGTTACATAGAATATGGACATATTTAAGTATGTTTATTTGGCATACTTAACAACCTCCCTATCATTGGACATTGAAAGTATTCCTACTTTTTTACCATCACAAATTATATATCTTTGTCCCTACGTTTTTCCATGCATCTATGACTGTTTCTTTAGGAATAAATTCCTAGAAGTGGAATAGCTGGGTAAAAGGGTATGTACATTTTAATGCTTTTGGTACCTAAAAATGTCAAGTTTTATGCTAATCACTTGTTATATTCTGTCTTGTATTGCTATGTAATTGTTTTATGTGTCTGTCTTGTCTCCCTAATTAGAATATAAGCTTCTTGAGGTCAAGGGAAGTTTCTTATACATCTTACGTATCCTTTGACAGTCTGGTTTACAATGTTGGATTTATGAGTAATCAAGAAATATTGTATTGATTTAAACCTGTGGTTTTACAGGCTTTTGAATATCATAAACCTGTAAATTTAGAAATATATGTATTTTGGGGATACACAAGGCTTGCAAATTTTCTATTTTTCCAAGAAAGATATTAAAAAACAAAACCAACTACCACTTCCTACAACCTCCATCTCATAAAATAAAGAATGCTTAATAACAAAGTGTTTCTAATCTCTGAAAAATGGAAAGGTTTTTAATTGGAACATTTTAGCTTTTTAAAAAACTCACTGCCTTATTCATATTTTTCTCATTTTGTATTGGACTGTTGAATCTCACCTTAGTCAATCAGTGCTCTGTAGATCAACATTTGAGAACTACTGATTTAAAAGACTTACAGGATTAAAAGATAACCCTTTTTGCAAAATAAATTTCTTCTTGCCCACAAGCCTGTCTTTTTCACAATAAGTACACAAGTGCAGGTAATGCCATTTTTTAATTACACAGAATTTGTGTATCTCAATGTACAAGTACTGCATTAAACAAACCAGACCTTGCTGATGAACATTTAAATATATTCCAATTGTCCAAACCAAAAAACTATGTGCTTTCTAAGAAATTTGAGACGTGTTAAGTGTGGTATGATGGAGAGAAGGCAGATGTTCAAGTCAGACAACCTGGATTTGAATCCAGACTGTGGCATCGCCACTTATTTCCCTCTGGCTTCCTTATTTGTAAAATGAGATATCTTCCTCCAAGAGTTTCTTTGGCTCCAGTTCTGGCAGTTACTTCACTGTAATGAAATTATTTGTTTAGACATCTGCCTTCCTCACAAGACCATGAGCTCCTGAGGGGAGGAGTCATAGCTTTCTTTCCTTACACTAAAGCCTCACCTAGGACTCAAGGCATAGCACTTACTTAATGAAATGGCCATTGAATCTGTACATGATTGTTGTGAGGACCAAATGAAGTGATGTGTGAAAGCTCTTTGTAAACTCTCAATTCTATACAAATGTTAATTATTTTTATTGCTAGTAAGAGCTGTCTTTGGGAGCTATCAAAATTTTGGGTAGAAACAAAATTACCCTTTCACATTTCTGTAATGTTTCCCATTTATTTTATAAGAAAACAAGTTTTAATTGGATTAAGATGGCGCTAATTTGCTCCCAGGGAAGGCAGATGAATCCCCTCACCCCTGGCCAGTGGAAGTGCCAAGAGATTATTTCATATTTAAAGAATGGCGCCCCTTATTTTATCATCTAAACCATATAACTTATAAAAGGATACCAAACCTGGAAGAGAACAGGAGCCTAATTAATTTTAATCAGTACTTTTTTTTACATTCACTGACTTTTTAAAATGTCTTAGTTTCTAATCTGTTTGTAAAGGTTGTGGTGAATTTTTGCCACAAGATGGCATTGGTGATTACTGAATGCATGTTCTTTTGACCCAGAATTCTGAAAAAAGGGTGTACATAATTGTATTCTTTTGGGGATGAGCTGAAAACTTTCATCACTGCTTATATATTAATTTAATTTTGTTTTGACTCCTAAAACAGGGTTAAATGCTACTTTACATCACTTCTTTCTGTATTCAAGTATTGTTTTGTTTCCTGTTTTTCTGTCTTTATAACTGCAGTAACGATGTATTATTTGCCATGTGTTGTATGTGTCTGACTTATTGCTGATGATTGTGGTAACAGGTAAGAAGAAAATACGATGGGACCCTGTTAGGAGGCGCTTCATTCAGTCCTGTCCCATCATAAGGATCCCTAACAGGTTTCTGAGAGGTGGGTGTGCCTAGCAAGAGATCTGTGCTTCATATGGGTTGAAGGGAACTTGGAATGAATTTTATAAACTCAAAACTCTGGTTTTTAAAAATTGTCTAAACAGCCAAGATTGAAATGAGATAAATCTAGAGCAAATTTAAACCTATATTTCATATTGACCATTGTTGGAATTGTAATTAAGGTTTAGGGAGTTAGAATCACTTAATGTGTATTAGATAACATAAATAATTGATCTCACTGATATCACTATTATTCCACTATAACCATATTAAAAAGAACTTTGAATAATTTATAAAATACTGGTATGGGAAATAGTTTTCTAAACATGATTCGAAGGAAGGAAGAATTTATGTGACTAAAATATTAAAATCTCTTATGGTAAAAAATAATAAAAAGATATAAGGGGAAGTATTTGTAACACATGGTTAATATTATGAATATATAAAGAGATTTTATAAATTAACAGTTTAAAAACAAATACCCATGCCCACTAGACAAATAGGTAAAATAACATGAATAGGTAAAAGAATATTAGTTGATTAAAAAGAGAAAGTTCAATAAATATGAACAAATATTTATTTCACTCTTGTTATAAGCATGATAATTCAAATAATAGATATCATTTTCACCTGTTAGATTTTCAAAGACTAAAAATAAGAATACCCAGTGTTGGCAAGGTTATGGGAAAATGAAGCTATATATTTAAGAAAGTGTAAATTTAACACAGCCTTTTTGAATTCAGCTTGCCAATATGTATCAAAAGTCTTAAAAATGTTCACATTCTTTGACCATGTAATTCTTACCTCTATTTTTATTTATTAATTTTGAAAATTTTCATTATTGACAGTATTACAGATGTCTCCCATTTCCCCCCAGATACCTTCTATTTTTAATATTTTCCCCCCCACACAAAAAAGTACTCCATAGTGAAAAAAGAAAATCTCAGAAGAGAATTGAAAACTCTGGTTCACATATTTCTAGATTAACAAATTGTCAGATAAGCATGCTTAATGTTGTAATTTAGACTTTATTAAGTTATTTATAAATCAGTGTATCTGATTTTAACCAAAGAGATTATATTTTTAAAAACTAAAAAACATCTTTGCAGCTGGTATGAATGTTTTTAGTACCTACCTATTTTAACAGCCAAATTCCAGAACTTGAAAATAATAAAATCTATTTTAAATGGGTCAAGATAAGATACTTAGGGTGGTGTGCTACCTTTTAGCATCAATAAATTATCTTATTGATACAAATTAAGAGGTAATTTTAGTGTTATGTGACAAAAATAACAGTGCACACACATGGCCAAGGAGACACATTTAATTCTGTAACATCTTTTTCTTTTTTTGTGTTATAAATTAGAACGTTAATTTATTGATTTATAATGAGAAAGCTAACTTAGGCTGACTAAATTTAAAATGTAATTAAGAAATTGTTTAATTAGGATATACAATTTAATATATTTTTGTACAAATATAAACATAAAAAAAATATAAAGGAAGTAGTATTATATCTGGATGGTGGGATTTACTTTTGTGTATTCTCTGTTTTTCAATTTTTTAATCATGGAAAAAAGGAGATTAGCACAGGTAAGTTTTATACCTTTGGTTATTTTGTTAGCCCTGAATTGGCTCAAACAATGGCTGAGGAAGACAGTCTCTGACAGTACCAAAAGGAGGCAGGAGTAAACTAACAATATCAAGGTCACCAGTGAACACCTCTAAGTCAGTGGCCTTCTCTTAATTCACACCTTCTTTGACCTGTTCGTACTGTTTGATGCTGTTGACCCACTTGCACCTTCTTAGATTTCTCTTCTTTTGGATTACTTTACTGTACAATCCCAGATGTTTTCTTCCTACTTCCTTGATTGTTCATTCTGTTTCCTTCACTGGCTTTTTTCTTCCTACCCAATAAAGGTGGGTGTTACTTCAACGTTCTGTCGTCTCCATTATCTCCTTTAGTTATCGCATCAGCTTTCACAGACTTAACTATGTTCGTTTGTTCGTTCATCCTTTCATTCGTTCAGTATTTCCTGATTACCTCCTAACTAACAGGCGCTATACTAGCTCAATGAGAATCAGGGAAAGAAACAATTACAGAATAAATTGAGTGCAATTCTTTGTGATAAGTGTCCTGATGAGGAAGTATGATATGGGAGCATACAGAAGAGGTACCTCGCCCAGCTCATGGGAGGATGGAGAAAGGGTGGCCATTAGAATGACTTTTCAGAAGAGATGTACTTAAAGGCTGAGTGGGTGTTAGGAAGGGAGTGTTGGAACATCTCAAACCACAGGGCCAACCAGCTGGAGTAAAGGCAATCAGGCAAAACAGCATGGCCTTTCAGAGAACTGCAGGAAGTTCCACTTAGTCGGAAGGAGTGTGGAGAGAGATTGGAGAGGGCCCAGATCAAGTGGGGTACCACCCAATGTGAGTTTTCAGGATCTGTTTGTTTTTCAATTAGTGAAGAAATTTAATTGAAAGGCCAGTTACAAGGTGATTATAATTATTAAGATGAGAAATGATGGCAGCTACAAGTAAGGTTGTAGAAGGAATAGAGAGGAGGAAAATGATTTGAAATCTAGGGAAGTGGAATTCGTTGAGACTTGACTAATTGAAGAAGAGGAGGAAAAGTCAAGAAAGCTTCTAGCTTTCTGTGTGGACCATTGTGCTAGCCACAAGGTGTTATATAGATGGATAGAGGAGCAGACTGAGGTGAAATATGACACATTTAATTTAATCTCCCCAAACCACAATAACAGTGGTTAATAGAGATTAACTCTTAGATTGAACACTCAGTTTAAGAGTTATTTCCTGGGAAACTGTCTTTGAAGGCCCATCTCTTTGTTCTGATGGCACCCTGTGTACCCGCCTGTATCATAGCACTTATCACCCTGAATTACAGTTGTTTACCTGTGTATGCCTGCCATAGACTGTAAGCTCTATAAGGGCAGGGACAGTGCCTTTGAGTAGAATTGAATTATTTATAAGGCCACTGACAGGGACTAGAATGGAACTAAAAATGTAGTATGTTTCGACTTCTCTTTGGTGGTGGTGACAGTAAATAAATGAGTTGCTGAGAATATGGAAATGCTGCTGTTTAGTGTTTTCTTAGATTAAATATAACTTGTCTATGCTTTTGAAATTTCCACTTTTAGGTCTCTCATTTTGGGAATCCTCCACATTACCTGTGTTGATACTGATTGAACACTAGTGCATACGGCTTGTTTTCTACCATTAGATGCCTTCACTCAATCCTGTATCATCTCTAAAATACATTTCTACTGATTAAAATTGTGTGGTGTGAAAACAATACTGATACAGTGGAAACAATGAGTTTCCATTGATGGACCTAACATACCCATTTACCTTTCCATACTTTTCAGATATTACTGAAAACGGCAAAACTGGCATATGAAAAAGGAATCATAATTGTACTGAAAATGGAAAGGGAGGCTTTGAAGCCAGGTTACCTAGGTCTGAGTCCAGTCTCTGCCATTTACCTATTGTGTGACTTTGGGCAAGTTGCTCACGTTTGGGGGCTCAATTTCCTCAACTGTAAATTAGGATGGTGCTAACCAGTGTGATCTACCTTGCTCACCGAAGGGTCTCTGTTTCAATTCCCAGTCAAGGGCATGTACTTGGGTTGCAGGTTTGATCCCCAGCCCCTGTCAGAGTGAGTGTGTGAGACAGCCAGCTGATATGTCACTCTCTCCTCCCTCCCTTCTACTTTCTCTAAAAATCAATGGGTGAAAAAATATCCTTGGGTGAGGATTAACAACAACAAAAATAATTAGGATAATGATAATAGTACCTACTTCCTAGAGTTGTTGTGAGGCTCAAGAGAGAGAATATGAGCAAAGAACACTTAAGAGAGTTTTTCCAGTTAGCCAATTCATGTTAGCTGCTATCGTTCTGTTATTATACCAGAAAATTGGTGGAATTTCAGAGTAAATAGGAAGAAGTTGGAATTATAATGATTGAGAAACGGGAACAGAATAAAATGCAGCCTCAGTGCTCCTGGAGCATGCTGGAAGCCAGGAGAATTTCGTAGTAGGGCCCCTTTTCTGAAACTCTAAGCCTCGAGTCAGCGAATGTAGAAGAAAGGAGGTTTGAGAAAGATTGAGTATTGGGGCCAATAATTAAGGGACTGTTTCTAAAATAGTTATTTCCCCTACTCCTTCTCTCTCTTCATGGAGGTTTGGAGACAGTAGCACAACTGATAAGGAAACCTACATCTTTTAAAATTGTCAATCGATGTTGTCCTTCATTTATTAATATGAATAGATGACCAGATATTTGAGGGAAACTAGACTTGAAAGAGGATAACTAAGATGAACAAATAAAATAGCTGGCTGTGTTGAAAGCAGAGGTAATGATGAAGCAGAGTGGAACTTTAGGAAGTTCTGATCATAGGAGGTTTCTTCAGAGTCGAGAGTAATTGGATCCATAAATAAAAAACCTATGCTGTGGAGAAAAAGGAATGACTAAAGAATTAATTCTGTACTGAAAACTTGATTGCTAAAATGGAAATGCAGTTGGAGGCTTAATATATATAGGCTTAAGGCCAATCTTTATGAAAATAAAGCAAAGAAAATATTCAGACCATAAAGCAAGAAGAAGAAAAAAGAAAGTACATAAGGAAAAGTATACTGTTAGGACCATCTGTGTGATCCAGTATCCATTCATGGCATCACAAAAGGAAGGACAGAAGAAGGGAGAAAATAAATAAAAGACTATTTTTCTACGTTGAATAAAGATTCTGAGTCTTCAGGTATAAAGGGCCCATAGGGAACAAGCCGGAAGGCAACAACAAACAAAAGCATCTGTCTGTACATTACTGAACTATTTTTTATTCCAGAGATAAAATGTAGATATAGAAAGAGTCAAGACTAAGAAGACTGGTGTTGCATTTCTCACCTGCCAACTAGTTTGCCTTCAGTGTTATTTTTCTGTTGTTGTTAATCCTCACTCAAGGATATTTTTCCATTGATTTTTAGAGAGAGTGGAAGGGAGAGGGAGAGACAGAGAGAAAGAAACATCAGTGTGAGAAAGATACATCAATTGGTTGCCACCTGCACTGCTCTGGCTGGGTTGGAGATTGAGCCTGCAAATGAGGGATGTTCCCTTGACCATAATGGAACCTGTGACTCTTACGTCCACAGGCTGACGCTCTAACCACTGAGCAACAAACTAGCAATTGCCGTTAGTGTTCTGAGGGGAACTTATTTTGAAGCAGAATGTACCCAACCTCACTGTTAGACTGGGGTTCAAAATAAATAAGAACTCTGAAAGTTTATGACATAAACTCTTTTTGAGAAAATTACTTAAAGAAGTACTCCCAGTAAAATGGAAAATAGAAGAAAGAGAAAGTTTTGGATATAAGAAGCAGTAGTGTGCAAAGGAACAAACAATAAAATTTAGAATTGCATCTAAATTAAGGAACTGTGAAGTCTAGTATAAAAGTTAATAAAAGTGTTCTAGCTTGGCTAGTGTGGCTGGCTGGTTTGGCTCAGTGGTTGAGTGTCGGACCCATGAATCAGGAGGTCATGGTTGGAGTCCGGTCAGGGCACATGACTGGGTTATGGACTCCATCCCCAGTTGGGGGAGTGCAGGAGGCAGCCAGTCAATGATTCTCTTATCATCATTGATGTTTCTATCCCTCTCCATCTCCCTTTCTCTGAAATCAACAAAAACTTTAAAAAAATAAAAGATTTCTAAATATATAGAATAATCTATTATAATAAAAGCGTAATATGCTAATTAGACTGGGCAGCCAAACAATCTTCCAGACGACCTTCCAGACAAAGCTGGGGCTGTGAGGACCGAGGCAAGCTGCCACAGCTGCAAGGGCGGATCCCCTTGCACGTATTTCATGCATCAGGCCTCTAGCATTAATATATGTGTGTATATGTATGTATCTAACATTCTGTAACATTTCAGTTGACTTAAACAAAGGGTGGATAGAGAGAAAATAAAACTGCTAAAGATCTTTTAAATTTTTGTTTTGAAATTTATAAGTATATAGTATGTGTTTATTAAAATTCAAGTAATATGGAATACATAGGATGAAAAGTGAATGTATCTCAAGCATACATTTGTACAAATCAGTAAAAAAAAAAAAAGACATCTCAATAGAAAAATGTATAAAAGGGTTATGCAAGCACTTCCCAAAAGGAACAAGTCAGTTGGACATTAAACTGGAAAGGTGCTCAACCTCATTTGTAATGGGAGAAATGCACATTAAAACCACAATGAGATAGGTCTACAAACCCACAAGAATTGCTAAATTAAAAGTGCAATTCCAATACTAAGCATTTTGTAAACAAAAGTTTGGCCTTATCTAGTAAAAGTAAAGATTCCATACATCTGACTCAAAATTTTCATTTTTAGATTTATAGCCAACAAATGTGGGCCCCATGTGTATCTGAAAACATATTTGAAAAATTGTTTATAGCATTAAGAGCCACTAATCTGAAAAAACCCAAGTGTCCATTCTTACAATATAGACTGGATAAATTGTGGTATATATTTATACAAGGAAATATTATTTGACAATGGAAATTAATAGTGACCTTTACCCCCAGCAATGTGGATGAATCTCAGAGACATAGTTACGAATGAAAGAGTCTGGTATAATACATCTGTGATGAGGAAACTGAGAGTCAGTTAGGGCCAGTGACTTGCTCAAGGTAACAAAAAGAACCTGGGTTCAAATCTAGACATTTGTGGGAGCCTTGCTCTTTCTTTCACACCACACTTTCTGTGTCTCAGGATTCCTAAATTGAGATATTGAGTTCTTTTCTTGAAGTAAATCACAGCTCATGAGTAAATTTTCTGATTATAGTTTGCCTAATATTATATATAGTCATTATTTACGTAATTATGGTATAATAATCTTATTAATTATACCTGTAAAACCTAATATTTGAGTACTAAGGTACTGAGTTATAAGAGCCCTAGGGGTTGTTTGTTTTTTGATGAGGAAGAGCAGTATGGGCTGGACTTGGAGGTATTTCCACCACTAGGCATTGAAGGGTAGGCAGACCGGGTCAAGGTCTAAGGGAAGGACTCAATTTCCCAAGCAGAGACAAACTTAAACAAGCAGGCATGTCAGAGCTCAGGGCAAGGCCAGGTCATGAAAGGCTGTAAATTGCAGGTTGAGGACTTTGAGCAGTGAGGAACCATTAAAGACTCAGGGCGGATAGTTTGGACTTGAGTGATTCACCCCTTTGTGGTACTATGTTTGTTTTCTGGTTTCTCTAGATCCGTACAATTTTTTTTTTCAGTTCTCGTTTAAAAGCATATCCTAGGAAGTGAATTATAATTTTAAAAATAAATCAGTAAGGCTTATGTTAGGTTGGTAATAAATGTTTATATAATAGATGCTTATTAGGTATCCAACATTTCCTAAATATTAATTAACATCATTCTAGTATTTACTCCTAATATGTGAAAGTGGATAAGTCTTTAGTGTAACAGTCAACTATAGTAGTTTCTTACCATCCAGTATATGTTTAAGCATATTTGGTTTGACAGCTCTGTAAGGGTTTATGTAGACTGGTATAAAAATTATAAGGATAATAGAAATAATGTCGTTTTTTCCCCTCCAAAATAATTCCAAAATCATTTTTAGTGAACTGACATAATTTAAACTTCAGAAAGCTTTCAAATATAATTGTAGAAATAGCTTTTCTTAGTGAGGAGCTCTCTCTAAGAACTCTTTTAGATAAATATAAGGATATTTTTTTGTTAACTGACAGAATATCTGGAGTATTTAAATTCTACATTTTGCTGTAACTCTTTGAAAAACAAGTTTTCTTTTTAAGTGAATTATTAAATATTGTGGAAAAATAATAGGTTTTATGTGTGTGTGTTTTTATTTCTACATGACTCATTCACATTTGTGATTACATTTATGTAGTTTTCTAATATTTTCAGTTAAGTTTAATTAGCCTGTGCTTTTTTTCTCCTCTAAGTAAATAAGAAAATTTATCCTTTAAGCTTTTAAGTTATTAAACCCCTTCTCTTTCTTTTCTTGAAAATTTCAAGCTATCAGCCATTTTCTTGAGTTTATAATGCTATTTTGCCTCCGTTGGGAAAAATCAAAATCTGAAAGTAGTCATATGAAATAGAAATAGAGACCAGCTCCCTGAAATCTTTAGTGTGTGGGAATGTATAAAATAACCCAAGCAAATTAAAAGTACATCCATGCTATAAATCTCCCCTGATCCCCTTTTAAAACTACTAAAAAGATTGTTACCAAGTTTTGTCTGTACTTTTGATCTGCTGGGCCACCTGTGGAAAACTGTCCTCCTCTCTCCTAGGCCACAGACCTCCACCTGCACGAAGTGGACACCGTTGTGTGGCAGATAATACCAATCTATATGTGTTTGGAGGTTATAACCCAGATTATGATGAGTCAGGAGGGCCAGATAATGAAGACTATCCTCTCTTCAGGGAGCTTTGGCGGTATCACTTTGCTACAGGAGTATGGCACCAGATGGGCACAGATGGGTACATGCCCCGGGAATTGGCATCGATGTCACGTGAGTGCAAGCAGTTCTGAACTTTTGACTTCATGAAATGTCTGAGAGGTCCCGTTCAATGTCACTTGTTCTAATTTATAGTAACACTGTTATATGATTAAACCCTGTTCATGGATAGTTCACACATGGTATCAATTTAATTTTCATAACATCCCTACTGCAGGTACTGGATATATTGCCATTGTACAAATGAGGAAGCCGAGGCTTTAGAGAGGCCCTCTGGGTAGTGGCTAAGAATGCAGCTCTGGAGCCAGCTGCCTGGGATTGAATGCTAATTTGGCAAGGTTCTTTTAAAAGATATATATTTTATTGTTTTTTTACAGAGAGGAAGAGAGAGGGATAGAGAGTTAGATATATCGATGAGAGAGAGACATCAATCAGCTGCTTCCTGCACATCTCCCACTGGGGATGTGCCCACAACCAAGGTACATGCCCTTGACCAGAATCAAACCCGCGACCTTCCAGTCCGCAGGCCGACGCTCTATCCACTGAGCCAAACCAGTTTCGGAGTTTCGGCTGGCAAGGTTCTTTTTTAGGAAATCTTCAACAAGTGATTTAAACCACTTATCACTTCTGTTTCATTATAATAGTGGAGAAGATAATAGTTCCTACCTCTAAGATTTAATTTAGAGAGTAACTTTCCTGGAGTCACACAGGAATTTAAACCTAGCTTTTTGCTGGCTCCAGAGCCCATGCTGTTGACTCTTACACTGTATCTATTGAAAGATTGGTAAAATGCCATTGAAATAATATGGTAGCACTATTTTGGGGTATTTGTCATCAGAGAAGGAAAGAAGGTATGTAAGTGTGTGTGTGTGTGTGTGTGTGTGTGTGTGTGTGTGTGTATGTTGGCAGGAATAGAAGTGATACAGAGAAGACCACCAGTTACCAGAAGCAATCATTCCCCTGGCAAAAACAGTGATTCTTTTACCCTGTCATCTGAATCCCACTGGGTCTAGGACAAAGATGATACTTCATTTTGCTCTGCTTTGTTATACACTTGAACTGTCTTGAGTGGTAGTGGTGTACTGTAGTTCATATCATTCAATATTGTTATATGATATATTCCATATAGCATGAATTAGATCTCTTTTTTGCAGAACTTTGTAGTAGTTAGATGTCAGTGGGTTGAGCTATCTTCTGAGAGCATTTAAGCAGACATTTTTGAGTTTCTTAAATATTCTGGGTTTGTGTGGGAATACATTTTTAAAAATATATATTTTATTGATTTTTTACAGAGAGGAAAAGAGAGGGATAGAGAGTTAGAAACATCGATGAGAGAGAATCATCCATCAGCTGCCTCTTGCACACCCCCTGCTGGGGATGAGCCTACAACCAAGACACATACCCTTGACCGGAATCGAACCCGGGACCCTTAAGTCCGCAGGCCGACGCTCTATCCATTGAGCCAAACCGGTTGCGGCTGTGTGGGAATACATTTTAGTGCCCAGTACATAAATGGAATTTGTGCTTCTCCTTCCCCAGTTGTGCTGCATGGAAACAACCTGTTAGTGTTTGGAGGCACAGGCATCCCGTTTGGCGAGAGCAACGGAAATGATGTCCACGTCTGTAACGTGAAGTATAAGAGATGGGCTCTCCTCAGCTGTCGGGGGAAGAAACCCAGTCGTATATATGGACAGGTACCAATCTATGGCTGGTCATGGCGGATATATTTGTTTGGATTTTTCTAATTCTGGGAACAAACAATGTCAGAATCTTTATATTACTACCAATTTTTGTTTGTTTGTTTGTTTTTGTTAATCCTCACCCGCAGATATTTTTCCCATTAATTTTTATTATTTTTTTATTGTGAATATATATATATATATATATATATATATATATATATAATATACACAAACACACATTTATTCTTCCCTATACGTCCCATCAAAATGGGAATTATTAGTTGTAATGAGGCAAATTAAATTAAAACAATATATTTTACAAGAGAATTTAAAAGGTCATGTCTTTTAAATTAAATTTCTACTCTTAATAACATTTTGTGGGAAAGCAAGAACACACTTTCTTCAAAAAGAAGACCTCTGTTTCAGTTAAAATAGTTTTTAAAAGTTGGGATAAGTCACACAAGTGTACAAATAATACAAGCCCACTTCTGTGACATACTGTAAAAAAAGTAATGTTTTGTTTCAAGTGCAACAATTAAGTTTATAACCCTCTCCAAGTGATTTTTATAAAATGTTTATTCTCCTAAATCCAATGCATTCACAGAGTGTTAACACTTTAAATGTTTATCATTTCCACCAACTGCAGCATTATCTAAGTAAATCAAAATAAGCACTTTATCATAGATATAGTTAATGATTATTAATACTTGTTTAAAAAAGAAACTTCCCCCAAATTTCAGCACAGGTAGTTTAATTGTAGATTTCAGTTCTCCATTTAAAAAAATAGTGTGTAGAAATGATTCTTCTTACTTAAATGTATTATATCATGTTAACAACTCACCAAATCAAAAGCAATTGCCAAGTTGAATAAGTTACAAAGAAATAATAATTCTGGCTTGTACAGAAATGTGCAGTGTTTTCAAAGCTCTGAACAGTTACCTACTAATACAAATCTCCACAGCTTAACTTAGAGTTGGAAGATGAGTTTTCACAGAAAATGTAACTTTAACCTCCATTTACATTCATTTGAATATATTACTAAGATGTTGACTATATCACATATTTTTCCCATTAATTTTTAGAGCAAGTGAAAGGGAGGGAGAGAGAGAGAGAAACATCAATGTGAGAGACACATTGATTGGTTGCCTCCTACACACACCCCGACCAGGGACTAGGGCTGGGGATTACATTTGCAACCCAGGTACATACTCTTGACCAGTAATGGACCCTAACACCCTTTAGTACACGGGCCAACACTCCAACCACTGAGCCACATGGCCAGGGTACTACCAGTTGTTAAAGTGGAGAGTAAATTTACTCTAGTTAATATTTGTTTTTTCAGTTCTGATGTGAAATTGTAATTTTAAATCTGATATCTTGCCTTCTCTCCTTTCCCCCATCTTTATTTCAAATCCAATTTAGGATTATGATGTAGACCTGTATGGAAGTTTCTTAAATATCAGGACCTCACTCCACTCTCCCTCCCACTTCCAACAAGAGATTGGGCACCGTATGGTCTAGGTCTTGTCATCTTTAGTGATAGGATTCTTTGAAGAGCTTTTTGACCTAAGTAGCAGAGTATGTGGTCCCTGCACTTGATTAAGATCTGAGCTGAAACACAGATTATGTAGAGATTAGTTTCCAGTTAGGTTCCAGTGCTTCAAACCTAGGTTTGAAAAGTTATGTCCAAAAAGTTAGGATGCAACTTGCCATATATCAGAGACTCTTTGAGAATAATGACTAAGCTTAAAATAATCAATCTTTGTTTCTTACTTGACTTGGCTGGCATCAGTACTGATAAATACCTTCTGAATATGTGTAGAGTCATAACCCTATATTTCACAACAGGAGAAATTTAAACTCAAGAAATGGCCAATAAAAATAGCCATTCTTACTTTGAAGAAGAAAGTCTGGTGGAAAACATCAAGTTTTGGGACTATCAACTCTAAATCTTACCTAAGGAATTCTGGTGGCTTATTTTCATTACTGCTCCTGCTTGAGGGCATTTTTCTTCAAATTGCTTAGGAAGAGAAACAGTTTTCTTTTTCTTTTTTAAATATATTTTTTATTGATTTCAGAGAGGAAAGGAGAGGGAGAGATAGAAACATCAAAGATGAGAGAGAATCATTGATCCTCTGCCTCCTTCGTGCCTCAGATTGTGGATTGAATCTGCAACTCAGGCATGTCCCCTGACTGGGAATTGAACTGTGACCTCTTGGTTCATAGGCTGACACCTAACCACTGAGCCATGCTGGCTAGGTGAGAAGCAGTTTTCAGTGAAAATGTTCACGTCCATGATCTATAAATTCTTTGGTTGGCTAGAAGCCCTTATGATCATCTGACCCCCTTGGCTATCTAGGTGGAACTGGCTTTCCAGTTGAGTAAACTTTACCTTCTAAACATAATCTCAGTGCCCTGGCCAGTGTGGCTCAGTTGGCTGGTGTGGCTTAGTATAGCTCCCATGCACTGAAAGGTTGCCTGTTTGATTCCCATGATGCCTGCGTTTCAGGCTCCACGGTGGGAGGCAGCTGATCAATGTCTTGCTCTCACATCAATGTTTCTCCCTTTTTTACCCGTATCTTCTCACTCCCCTCCTGCCCCCCTCTCAAAATAAAAATAAAAATAATCTCTGAGTTCTCTAAAATCTTTAGTTCATTAGGTGTCTTGTGTTTTAGAAGGTTAAAAAATACAAGAGACCTGGCTGGTGTGGCTCAGTGATTCAATGTCAAACTATGAACCAGGAGGTCACGGTTTGTTCCCGGTCAGAGCACATGCCCAGGTTTCGGGCTCAATCCCTAGGAAGGGGCGTGCAGGAGGCAGCCAGTCCATGATTCTCTCTCTCATCATTGATGTTTCTCTCTCTCTCTTCTTCTCCCTTCCTCTCTCTGAAATCAATAAAAACATTTTTTCAAAATACAAGAGAATTTCATAAAACCTGATTTGGGGGTATTTAATAAGTTTATATTCTTTAATCAAGTGCTAACAAGTCAGTCTTTTCCCCTTTCCTTGTTTTCCAGGCCATGGCCATCATCAATGGCTCCCTTTATGTCTTCGGAGGGACAACTGGCTATATTTACAGCACAGACTTGCACAAATTAGATCTTAATACCAGAGAGTGGACACAACTAAAACCAAATAACCTATCCTGTGATCTACCAGAAGAGAGGTAAGGTTCTAAGATTAAAGCACATTTATTCTTTCTTCCTAAGATTTGACTTTTTTCCATATTGGTAATATGGTTTGAAGAAAATCCTTCGGCCTGGTTAAAATAGCTACCTGGTTGTTACATCCCAGTTCATCATTAATGAAGTATCTCCTGGTAAGGGAGTGGTATTTCCCTCTGAACTCTAGAATTTTTTTCCAGGTTATTTTCTCTTATATTTCACTTTTCCTGCATTAGGAAGATAGTAATACTTTGAAGAAGGCACCAATGGTAGCATTGTAACTACATTTTATATCACAGGCAAAGCAATTACTTTCTAGTTATTTTTTCATTTTCCATCTTACTTTGCATATTTTGATTCTTTGGCTCATTTGCTCACAGCTGTATTGCCAGAATAGGACTTAGTGCCATACCTATAGAGGTACTCAATGAAAATTGATTGGGTGAGTGATAGGAGGAAGAGAGGTATGGAGGGAGAGAAGAAGAGAGAGAGAGAGAAGGGGTGGAGGGTTGTTCAAGTTATCTGTTAAACACTCAGACAGCACATGATTCATTCTGGTTGCCTTCTAGAAGACCCTAGATCTTTCACTTTTATTTCCTAATAGTGGTTGCTGCTGCTTAGAGTTAAACTCATTGCAAAACTTAGAATGATCCTTTGCCCTCTAGTTTAAAATCAGAGGTATAGTAAATAATTTTTTAATTATTTTGCTTAAACTAATCTAAATTCTCTTTGCAATCTTTAAGCAAAATGGTATACAGATGCTAAGAAAGACTTTATTTTAGTACAGCAGTGGGCTAACTTGCAGAACTTACCATGAGAGGACTTGGGAAGTGGAATGTTACTAGAATAATTTTGATGTAATTTATTTTATCAGCATTTATTTCCTTCATGGAAAGGAGGAAATAGATGAAGTTTTCAAAGCATTTTAAAATAGTTGCCTTCTTGAATTATTTTATGGACATATTATAAATTATTTCAGCTGGTAGCTAGGCTGCTTAGATAAAAGTTATAGGCATTTCACATTCTATTCACAGTTCTCTATAGCATAATTTTCCTGGTATCCTGTATCTGTTAAATAAGTATTTTAGTTTAAAAGCCCATAGTCTAGAGTTTCTAATTAAATGTAGGCAGATCACTTTTTAAATCTCTATAATAGCTTCCTTCCATATGTAAAGTTATCACAAAAAGATTATAGAAAATACAAATAAGCAAAATGAAGAAAATAAAAAAACAAACAAAATCTAAACTCAGAGATAACCAAGGTTAATATTTTGAATGTAACCTTATAATAATTTCCTTGCATATTTATATATCTATAATTTATTTATTTTGAGAGTACATTTATTAAAACTGGGGACACAGGGCTTGGGGCACAAGAAGCAGCAGGAGAGAGCCTAGGCAGTGCTCTTCTTTGGCTCTCCAGAAATGATAGAGAAAAGAAGTGGGCCATGGCAGGGCTGCTGTTAGCTCCCTGAAAAGTCAGAGAAAAGGCAACCTTGGAGACAGGTTCAGGGTTAGCCTGAGCTGCTCATTGCTCCCTGGTTGCAAGACTCGTGAGGACCCTTAGAATTTAGGAGAGAAAAGTAAAGATGCATTCAATGAACATTGCCTAGCCCTTCTAGCCCTCCCTTATTGCACACTAACACAAAGCCATTAGAAGTCTCATCAGAGCGGTACATTGTTAAAGTGCCAGGAAGAAGAAGAAAGGAAGGCATGGGCATGCTCCAAAGAGAGCCTGCAATTATCTATACATTTTTAATGGAATTATAGCCCATCTGCTCTTATATAACTCTTTTTTTCCCCTTCAGTTAGTGACACAAAAACAACTTCTCGATATATTAATTATTCTCTATGCCACCATTCTTACTGGTTGCATACTAATCTATTTTATGTATATTCCATAATTTATTTAACCAATTCACATTATTAAACACTTAGGTTATTTCTTTCTTTCTTTCTTTTTTTTTTTTTTTTAAGACCACAACTCTTTATTCAGTTTATATATTTTACTGATTTTTTACAGAGAGGAAGGGAGAGAGATAGAGAGCCAGAAACGTCGATGAGAGAGAAACATCGACCAGCTGCCTCCTGCACAACCCCTACCGGGGATGTGCCCGCAACCAATGTACCGTATTTTTCGGACCATAAGACGCACTTTTTTCCCCCCAGAAGTGGGGGGAAAAAGTCCCTGCGTCTTATGGTCCAAATATAGCCTACACATATACTTTAAAAAAAAAGTTTTTTTACTTGCCCGGCTCTGTGTGGTCTCTGTGTGCTTGCCCGGCTCTAAAATGGTTCTAAATGCTGCTGTTTACTTTACAGGGTTGATTACATGTGTTTATGACTGTGATGTTGGGTTTTAATGCACATAAAATATTTTAGGACACTATTTGTTTCAGAATCTTTTTTTCTTCATTTCCCTTCTCTAAAAACTGGTGCGTCTTATGGTCCGAAAAATACGGTACATGCCCCCCACTGGAATCGAACCTGGGACCCTTCAGTCCACAGACCAACGCTCTGCCACTGAGCCAAACCGGTTTCGGCCACTTAGGTTATTTCTAATAATTTGTTATTATAAATAATAATCCAGTAAGAAGCCTAGTGGCTAAATCTTAGGTAGATCATTTTTCACTTTATTATAAACGTATTTTATTGTGTATTTCAGATACAGACATGAAATTGCACATGATGGACAGAGGATTTACATCTTGGGAGGTGGTACTTCCTGGACAGCTTATTCCTTAAACAAGGTATATATTTTTAAAAGAGAGAGAGAGAGAAAAGGGAGAAGTATAGAGGGAGGAATGTACTATGCTGAGCAAGATACTTCTGTTACTGTAATACCTTAAGTTTTGAAAAGGTTCTTCATTAATATCTATTTTTCGTTGCATGCTCTTTATCATGTAAGGTTGAGCTCCGTGCCCCTAATATGCTCTCTATTTGACAGCTGCATTATCACACATTGAATACGCTCTGTGAAAATTATCCTCTCATGCTGGATGAGGAAAATGACTAAAAGGAAGATATAGTAGCTTGAATGGAGCAACTAATTGGAATTGGAACCAGCATTCTCAGAATGTTACATCCTTATCATCATCAGGGCTCTGTGTCTAAAAAGAACAGGAATTGCAGGGCTGTGCATCACTATCTTGAGAAAGCTGAGCTCTGAAGGGCTCTCAGTCCTTCCATCCTGTGGCATTTCTAAACGCACGTCTGCAGAGGACATCTAGAGTAGGAGGCAGAGATCCTGGTCTGCTTGGAACCTTTATGGTCTTTTTTCTGTTATAAAATCATACATACTCATTGTAGAAAATGTGGAAGTTGCAAAATTCTAATTTTTTTCTTCATTATTTTCTGTTTTTAAATATTGAGATAATCTATGTGCTTAATTTTTAACTGTTAATGCTTTGTCTTAGAATTAACAACAAATCAGATAAAAACAGGAAAAGAAGAATTTTCAAAAAAGAATATATGTTTGTACAGGCTGTTGTTTAAAATCCAGTTTTCAGGCTAGCTAAAATGATGTTTGTGTATCTTCTTTTTCTCTCTCTCCAAGATCCATGCATACAACCTTGAAACAAATGCATGGGAGGAAATTGCAACAAAACCCCATGAAAAAATAGGTAAATTTATAGTATTGGCTCATTTATTTTTAACAAATGTATTTTATACTTTTACTTGTTTTGGAAGGGAAAACTTAATTTTATTGAGTTACATGACAAGTAAAATATCTGTTAAACCATTATTAGAAATTACTTGTATTCCTTAGCCCAAGTCTTCCTCTTCTTCAGCAGTTGAGCAGAGACTTTTAAAGGGAATTGCTGATTTCTTTTTTTTATTTTTATTTTATTTTATTTTTTAAAATAAATCTTTATTCATATTATTACAAATGTTCCTCATTTTTCCCCCCTCCATTGTTCCCCTCTACCAGGTTCCCACCCCACCCTCTGCCCTTTTCCCGCCCCCATTGTCCTCATCCATAGGTGCACAGTTTATGTTCAGTCTCTTCCTCCACCCCACTCCCCTTTTCCCCGAGAATTGTCAGTTCACTCCCCTTCCATACCTCTGATTCTATTATATTTACCAGTTAATATTGTTAATATTGGTTTTTAGATTCACTCGTTGATAGTTACCTATTTGTTGTTCATAATTTTTATCTTTATTTTCTTCCTCCTCCTATAGAACCCCCTTCAGCAATTCATATAATTCTGGTTTGGCAGTGATGAGCTCCTTTAGCTTTTTTTTATTAGTGAAGCTCTTTATCTGCCTTCGATTCTGAATGATAGCTTTGCTGGATAGATTATTTTTGGCTGTAGGTTCTTGCTATTCATCACCTTGAATATTTCTTGCCATTCCCGTCTGGCCTGTATGGTTTCTGTTGAGAAATCAGCTGACAATCGTATGGGTGCTCCTTTATAGGTAACTACTTGCTTTTCTCTTGCTGCTTTTAATATTCTCTCTTTGTCTTTTACTCTTGGAATTTTAATTATGATGTGTCTTGGTGTGGTCTTCTTTGGATTCCTTTTGTTTGGAGTTCTGTGCCTTTCCTGGACTTGTAAGTCTAATTCTTTCACCAGGTGGGGGAAGTTTTCTGTCACTATTTCTTTCAGTATGTTTTCGGTATCTTGCTCTCTCTCTTCTGGGACCCCCATAATTCTGATGTTGGTTCGCTTGAAGTTGTCCCAGAGGTTTCTTACATTATCTTCAACTTTCTGGATTCTCTGGCATTCTTGCGTCTGCGGAGGAGTATCTTCTGGCTCTTTATGTTCCAAATCTTTGACTTGATTCTTGCAATCTTCCATTCTGTTTTTAGGACTCTGTATAATATTTTTTTATTTCAGATAATGTATTCTTTATTTCTTGTTGATCCCTTATTATTTCTAGTTGACCCCTTTTCATATCCTTATAGGTCTCGTTTGTTTTATCGGCCTTTTCTAGGAAATTCTTGAAAAACCTTATAAGCGTGGTTTTTGATTTCTATACCCAGTCGCTTTTTGTCCTCCATTTCTTTCATTTGTGATCTGTTTCCTTTCCTCAGCATTTTCACAGCTTCCCTGAGTTGGTAGCCTTAAAAGTCTCTGTGTTCAGCTTGGATGGGGCGGAGTTTCAGGGTGGAGCCTACAGCCTTGGCTTCTGTCAGCCCTGCGCTATGAGGCTTCTGAGTCTCAGTGTTCCTCAGTGTGCTGCAAGCACCTCTGAGAGTGAGGCGCCCTCAAGTTTCGCCCACTACCAAATAGTCTACACTCTCCCCCAATGAGCCCGGAACTGGGGTTCAGTTCAGTGGGAAGTGGGGTTGGAAGTGGGGTTCAGAGCAATCTGGAGTTTTTGTCTCCTTCCTGCTAGGGCATTCAGCGGCACAGTCAACCATCCGTTCTCTGCGCGTTCTTTGCACACAATGTGTGTACCTCTGGGACTTTATTTCGCCGCTCCCCTGAGTTTCTGCCTTACAGCCCAGGCTCCCTCCATGTGAGCCTGGGTCTCCAGGGTCTGGCCTAGAACTGGGGTTCAGCACAGTCCGGAGCTTTTATCTCCTTCCCGCTAGGGAATGCCAGCCAGGCACTCAGCCACCCCTCCTCTCTGGCTCTGTCCTCTCCGCGCGCGCGCAACCGGTCTCCATACCTTAGGCTTTTACAGCTCCTCTGATTTTCCTTCTGGTTTTCTCTTTCCTTCTCATTGTAGAATTTCCAGTCAGTTGACTTTCCTGAAGTTCTGGGTAATGTCCATTTTGTATTTTAGTTGTATTTTATTGAAATTGTTGTGTGAGGCTGCAGTTAGGTGTTTACCTATGCTGCCACCTTGGTTTCTCTCCGGGAATTGCTGATTTCAATGGAAGTGAGAAATCATGCGTGGGATAAGAAATAGGTACTTAAATCAAGATCTATCCACCTGTTTGTAAGTAAAAGGGCTTGGGAAACCCACTAGTAACCCTGACCTCAGCCACCCCAGTTTGTCTTCCTGGCACCTTGAACTTGTACCACTCTGATGAGACTTCTAATGGCTTTGCTTGTGTGCAATAAGGGAAGATTGGAAGTGCTAGGCAATGTTGATATAATGCAGCAAAGGGATTGTTTTAAGTGAGTTGCTCATAGTATGTCCATCACTGTGTCATATCAATGCTATTTCTGTGAATAATGGAATTTCTGTGTTTATGTGTCTGGTAGGTTTCCCTGCAGCCCGAAGATGCCACAGTTGTGTTCAAATAAAAAATGGTAAGGATTCTAAATAATTTTCTGGTTCCATTTTTGTAATTGTATATACTGAGAATGCCTTATTTCCTAATGATATCTCCTTAAAAGACACATAACTTTGGGAACAGTCGTTTCTTGTAATTTCAACTTAAAAGGAAATTCATAAAGTTATGCTTCTCTCAGCAGTTTTTGTAAAGTAAGCTCGTATGTTTGGGTTCCTCCAGTTATCAGAGAACTCAGAACTTGGTGATAAATAAGCTTTTATTGTACCACCTGATTTTCAGTACCCCACCTCAGCAGATGTCGGTGGTTATGGTGGGGAATACTAATAATCTTGACATACAATAGAGACCTCAGTGAACATTGTATTAAAATTGTAATAACTCCTTCTGGAGTATTATATCGTAAAGTTTATTTTGTTCTCTAACTGATGCCAAACAGAACTGTTAGCTTATTGCTTGGCCATCTTACAACAAAGGCATTGTGTGGCTTCAGAGAGCAGCTGCAGCTATTTTATCTAAGTGTGATAAATGACTCCTCTTTGGATAACCTTTCTGTCTTTTAATTTACAGCTTGTTTTATAGTTTGATGTAGCACCTTAAATGTGTTTCTGGGAGGAAGTTGTATATAACTGAGTTTGATAGCCTGTATCCTTTCAGCAGCTTACTTTGGATTTTCCTGGGATTATGCTGCTGTCTCTAGTACAGAGATTCCTTTTATTATGCTTCTGCTTTTTGGATAAGATTTATAGATAGTGGCATTGTTCAACTTTGCCTCTCTAAGAATGGAACTGTACTTTTCTTGAATCCTAGTCAAAATGGTTTCCTGTGTATTTTATTGTTTGTTTAAGTACTGGCTTAAACTTAATCAAGACTTGAAATAAGACAGCTATTTTTTTTATTCTTTGAGACCAGGCACTGTACAAATGAAATTCAGCCTTAGTTCTGGACATTTAATTTGAAGGCTCACATAGTCTTTATTACAAGTTGTCTAATTAGTTATAACTAATAGAATTTAAGAAGCTAAAAACAAAACAACAACAAAGAAAAACTTTGAATTTGGGAAGGTTTTCCCCCTCTGACATAAATAGCCATACACATCAAATGGGTCTTCAGATTGTCCTCTTTGGGCTGAAGAGAACTTGGAAGAACCTCTTTTGTGCCCCCAAACAGAACAGCCCAACAGATGTTTCTCCTCAGGTTAAATGTCTGCATAGAGAACATTTGTCTCTGCGTGCACATACGTGTCGATCCTTTGCAGGACGTTATTTAAAAGAATAATTTACAAGCTGGTGGTCTACAGATGTGTTTTATTTGGCTCATGTCTGTATTAAATTTTTTTAAAATTACTGACTAACACTTAAAAATGAAAATGCTTCACTTTTAAAGAAATCCAGATTTTTGTTTTTCTTTCCTGGGAACCCAGTGTGTGATACCAGATTCATTGCATGATTACATGAGGTGTCCAGTAGAGGAATGTAGTTCCTCTAGCTGAGAAGCTTTGCTCTTTTATTTACTTTTAAAGTATAGTTTATGCCCTAGCTGGTTTGGCTCAGTGGATAGAGCATCAGCCTGTGAACTGAAAGGCCCCAGATTCAGTGCCAATCAAGGGCACATGCCCAGGTTGTGGGCTCGATCCCCAGTGGGGGACTTGCAGCTGATCGATGAGTCTCTCTCATCATGGATGTTTCTCTCTCTCCCTCTTCCTTCCTCTCTGAAATCAATAAAAATATATTTTAAAAGAAGAATAGTTTATAGATTTTTAGAGAGCAACGAAGGGAGAGGGAGAGAGAAAAAAACATCGATGTGACTGTCAGTTGGCTGCCTCCTACATGACCCATTGGGGATTCAGTCTGCAGCCTGGGCATGCACCCTTAACAAAGAATCGAACCGGCAACTTCCTAGCGCCTGGGCTAATGCCCACCAACTGAACCACACCATCCAAGGCTAGCTTTCTTTAGGGCAAATCTCCTGGCCGTAAGTCTGGCATGGTATTGATCACCTGGAGCCCCATTGCCATCTCCCCTATAGAGCATGTGCACTCCTGTTTGTGCCCTGAACCTTGTGTGTGTTTGTTTTCCCTGGACCTTTTTACTTTTTTCTGTGCCTGGCACCTATAGGTATCGGAACCTAGACACGAAGCCTGCTTAGAGGCTTGCTTCCTTTGTCCTAGCAGAGATCCTAAGATAGTGTCCATCGAGGGACGAGCCTGCAGCAGGAGAGGCCCACCCAGCTGAGTCCTCTGTGGTTTGGGGAAATCTGCTGAACTGGTCCCAGATCAACTAGCCCTGAGCTAGAGCTGTGGCTCATTTTCTTTGTGTGACCTCGGCTTTCTCTTTCTGTTTGATAGATGTGTTTATTTGTGGGGGCTATAATGGAGAAGTGATCCTGGGAGATATCTGGAAATTGAATCTGCAGACTTTTCAATGGGTAAAGCTTCCAGCTACCATGCCAGAGCCCGCTTATTTTCACTGTGCCGCTGTCACACCAGTAAGTTTTTATTTTCCTACCTCCCTTCCATAGTTGCAGATAAATCTTTTTAGGAATATTAGCAAGAAAAAAAGATCCTGGCATTAGTAGATTCTGGATTAAGGATGTGTTTTTAAAATGTTCTTCCAAAGCCAGCTCTTCTTCTGAGAAGCGGGGAGAAAACACATCATATACAAGTGTAAGAGAGCAGCATAAATGTAAAAGAAGTGCTACATGCAGCATTCAGGCCCTGAGAGTGTTATCAAAGGGGTTTCCCGGGAGGGCAGACTAGATTTACCCCACGATGCTAGGTTATTGAGAATTCTACTAGTTTTTTTTTTTTTTTTTTAATGCAAAGACCTTGATTTTCATCTATTTATGTCCATTATTGGGCACATTGGATAGTAACCTTAATGTTTGTTGAAGTTAAAAAAATGTATAGTTTTCCCCTTATGATATCATTCATTATTTAAACCAGTTGTGATCGCTGCACTATATTGGAATCAGTGAGAAATTTTTTGTTTCATCTCATCTCAATTCAGCCTACGTTGAATTTTTTTCTTCAGTCTTAGTATCTGTTTCTCTCCCGTTTGAATTTATCCTCTTTGACTGCCATTTGTTCATAGGCTGGTTGCATGTACATTCATGGAGGAGTGGTGAACATCCACGAAAACAAACGGACTGGCTCGTTGTTTAAGATCTGGCTGGTGGTACCTAACTTGCTGGAACTGGCATGGGAGAGGCTGCTTGCAGCCTTCCCTAACCTAGCCAACCTCTCCCGAACACAGCTTCTGCACCTTGGACTCACACAGGGACTCATCGAGCGCTTGAAATGAGGATTTCTGGACTGTTCATTGATACTGGAAATGTTAATTTAAAGAGACTTCTTTATTTATGGGCAGTGTAGAATGTGCTACAAAGAGGATTGGTTACCCTGATCAAGGCCTTATTCAGAAAATACATCAGATGCCTTTCTGTACATTGGTTTCCCTTGTTTCCCTTGTTTTTCTTTCTTTGCTTCCCTTGTTTTTCTTTCTTTGCTTCTCTCCCTCCCACCCTAATACGTACACACACATACTCACATTCTCTCTCTTCTTTGATGGCATTGAGGGAAAGTCTGAAAGTACCTTAATAATGTTATGAATCAAGATAAGATAAATAATTTTTAAAGAAAATTAAAACATATGACCATGTCAGCTAATGCTCTATAAATTAAATCATCAATGAAAACAAAAATAAAAATTAAACATTTTAAATACTGCAACAAGACATTTAGAGGGTAGAACAAGAAGGCTAATCTTGAGAGTCTTGCAGATTGTGTGTAAAGCTAGATGTTTAACTTACTTATTTCAAAGATACATCTGAATAGCTGGTTCTAAAGGCCACAGAGGTTGACATCTTGCTATAGAGATATCCAAACCTAAATTTTGACTTTGGAGGAAATTTAAGCAGGTCAGCAACTCTTAATTAGTGATTTCTTTTTTCATCCTTATGGTGCCAGCAGTAGTTAGAGGTGAGTTGTCAAAGGACTTCCGTGTGTCATAGCTGTGCTGTTTGTCTTAGAAATTGGGACACCAAGAATGTTTCAAATCAAGAATCGATGGTGGTCCAAGTTCTTCATTTGAGCAGTTTTAAAATTCTCCTATGCTTATTAATTCTTCAAGTATCACTTTGTCTTCTTCATGGGGAGTTGTAGATCCTAAATAAGTGGCACAAATGCTGTGGGACATGAATGTAAGCTCATGAGAGGCGGAGAAGAGCAGGGCTGGGAGGGCTTCTGCCCTGAGCTGTGAGCTTCGACTGGTCACGGTGGCCATTTCCTTTCAGAACTTGCTTCTTCTCCAACTCTGGCCCATCACCTGCCATTTTCTTAGATGACAGGTTTATCTTGATTTTTCTCTCAGCTTATCGCCTCCTTCTCTGTCTGCTTTAATGTGCATAGTGCTGTGAGTACTTGTCTAGTAAATGGATAAAAGGTCTGGGGGGGGGGGGGGGCTGGGGCAGGGGGAAGCCACAGGTCATCTTTCCTGAAGAACTGAGCATCATTTTAAAAACTAACATGAGAAGCCCTGGCTGATTTCTCAGTGTTTAGAGCATCATCCTGGGACCTAAAGGTCTCGGGTTCAATTCCTTGTCAAGGGCACATGCCTCAGTTGCAGATTCAACCTCAGGCCCTGGTTAGGGCATGCACAGGAGGCAACCAATGGATGTGTCTCTCACACAGAGATCCCCCCCCCACTCTCTCTAAACAAACAAACAAACAAACAAAAAACTAGCATGAGGAAGGGATGAAACTGAGGATCATTCACTTTTTGGTGCAAAATTTTAGTTCTGGTTTATTTTGTGTTGTTTTTAACTCTAGGAAAGAAATGACTTAACTTTTCACGTGCTCTGCCATCAGCATTTGGAAGGCCTTTGGCGTGTGAAAGGTGCTAACGGCACACAGTGCTGGTCATCCCACTATCGCCTCACCCCAGGAGATGCGGATGGGAGTTTAGGACACATTTTCCTTTAAGTGCCTCTTTTTCACTTAGCTTTTAAAGTTATTCTTTTTACTTCATCCCAGAAGGGATATTTTTAGCTCATGTGTGGATTTAAAAATCATCTTTGAGTTATGCCTAAAAGTTACCATCTAGAGTTCAGTGCTGGGGAAGAGAAAATTGTGGCCTCTAGACTTGAACTCCCAACGTGCGGGCCTTATTATACCACCCCAACCATGTTGGGTTGAGTTTATGGAACCTGTGTTTGGTAAGGTCTTGTAATAACCATTCATCTCTGAGTTTGGGTCCTTTTGCAGGGAGGGAGGGGTGTGGAGAAAGGCGGGAAAAGGAGCAGGGCCTCTAGAGGCCCCGCCCTCACACCCCCAGGCTTGTTGCAATGAGGAGCTCTCTCCCAAGCAAGTCAGTGTGAGCAGCCCCATGAATTCAAAACAAAGCTTTGCTGCATGACTCCAGTGTAGTCTCTGGATCATTGGGGGAAATACGTCAAGGATTAAACAAGTCGTGCAGTCGAGGGTGATGGAAGGATTTTGTCATGGATTTACATAGGGACCAAAGACGGAGAGCTCAGCCTCTGTGCTTCTCCTTCCTGGTTCTTGGGATATAAGTAGGTCTCTACTTCTGCACAGAGAGCTAGAGAGAAAGTCTGGTTCAGTCTGCACTTTCTAGCATTCTTTTTGTAAAGCCGCCTCAGGGCGGTCGTCTTTGAGGTAGACGTTGGAGGCCTGACATATAAGACCTGTGTGATGTTTTCATAAAAGTACATATCTCTGGTCCAAAATGTCTTCTTTTAATATAACACTAGTGAAGATGATGTAGTATGATCAACTCTAAGTGCTGTAGACTTCACTTTATGCACATGTTTTGGATGCCAAATGGGACTGTGTGTATGATGACTTAAATGTAGATGACGATTTTATATAAAGGCTCACCAGGCATTTTAGTATATCTGTAACCAGCTTTTAAAGTTATTCTTGAACTTTTAACTCTGAATTCCTGACACTGTTACTTGATTTAGGAAAGTTTATGCCTGCTGCTTCTCCACCTCTTTGAGGTATTCCCTGCCATCTTTCTGCAGTCCTGAAAATTTAAGTGCAATATAAAGAAACACATATGGCTATGTACAGATTATATATGGGATATGACTATAAGGCAGGTAGCCAACACTTTTGGGAAAGCCAGCTCATCACTTTAGATGAAACTATAACCAGAATTTGAGTTGGAATCGGCTGGCTTAAGCCAACTCTTGGTTGAGCTGGATTTTCAAGTCAGTGTTTTGTTATTCCAGTCCTTGGATTTGTTTGAGTGAGACTTCCCCTAGTCATCTTTGTACTGTCTCGTGTTTGCATATCTGCCTACATTTCTTTGCCCAGGAACAAGGAAGTCTATCTGTGAGAGTTTCCTAAGTGGAGAATTAAAACCTAATATTTAATACTACCAGTTCTCTCATGTACATACGAATTTATCTGCGAATGCCAGACTTTAAGTAAAGAAAACCATGCTTTCTTAATTTAATAGAGTGTTTTCCACATCCTGGAGAAATCTATAAAACAATATAGACTAGATTGAAATGTTAGCTATTCTTCAGGGCACACTGAAACCGTTTCCACCAGCAGAATCTTCTTTCAGGGCCCTAGTGACATGATGTGAAACTTCGCTCTGAACTATTCATGTCTGCCACACAGCTAGATTTAGGTGTATAATAAACGTTAACATTTCTAAGCAATGTATGTTAACAGTGACCTTCGGTTACCCAGAATGGCAAGAGTAAAGCACAGATCATTGAAATCCATTGATAATCAGTGTTTCAACTTTTCTGTCACACTTGATTCATATAGTTTTTCCTTCCTACCCCTCTCCCCAGAAGCACCTTCTCTTCAGTGGGTGGAGCTGTGAGTGGTTAGAAATGGAAAAGGAGGAATCCTGGTGAGGGTTGGGAACCAGTAGACACATGAGCAGCCTGGTTAGCTTGGGCAGCCTGCTGACATTAGGACCCACCGGTGGTAATCCTGAGTTCAGCTTTGGCATAGTTTCCTGCCCTGAGTTCTAGACCATCTGCCATCTAACCACCAAAGAACTCTCAGCACCCGTGGGAAGACGACGCAGTGTGTGAGGAGAAAACCCATCATGTCAACACATGTCTTTAGCTTTTGACATATACTTGCTTTCCCACTATTCATGCAGGAGCCTTATTTTTTCCTGTCCAGCCATAGTGCTTGGCCTGCAGGAAAGGTTGAATTATCTTCGGAGTCTGTGTTGTCTTACTCCTGTAAAATTCCTCTGTCTTTAGGTGGTCTTACAGACATCTAGAAAGAGTAAAGGTTACTGAACTGTCTACCTGACAGCACTCTGATGTAACACAAAAAGCCATTTTCCTTATTCTTCATTGTTCTGGCCTTGAGCTTCAAGATGGGTTGGGATTTATGGTCTCGTGACCATAAGCTTCAAAAGCTGTCACTGTTCGCTTCAGTGGCTTTGGTTCCCAAAATGCCTGAGGACTCCCGGAGCGGAGTGGAGCGTTGGCCAGGCCCGAGGCAGACTCAGTCGATGTCTGTAACCTCTGTGCTCCGTTCATCGCCACCACGTCATGCCCAGCAGTGGGCATGGAGGTTGTTAGATTGGGGGGAAAGCAACCACCTGTCTTGTCTGATGTTATGAAAAGAAGTTCTGAGTTATGCTTCAAAAGCGGTGCCATCTTTTTAGTATAACTTTCATGTTTTTAATTTCTCCCCCACTTTTTAGAAGTTTCTTAAGGGCCCTGCTTAGTGGACAGGGTGAGTCCAAGGCAGTTTCACCAAACTCAGTAGTTGCTGTTGTACTAGTCGCACAATTAGAATACAAAGGAGGCATCAGGAACACACTGACCTTCTCTAGAGCCACTTCCTGGTACGGAGTCTGAGCAGGGGCAGCGTCAGGCGTCTCCCTGGGCAGGCACCTGCCAAGGAGCATTTTCTGGAAGATCCTAGGCAAGAGAGGGAAACCTCTCCCGCACGCGGCCTCTGAGAGTGAGCCTGGACTTGGCTCTCATACAGGGTATGCTCAGGCCACACGCGATGCTTGCCTTATTATAAAGCTGTTGCCACAGTCCTGTTAAATAGAGTGGAAGTCCTTTTGCAGTCTGGTGTGCATGCCGTATGATCAGGACAGCTTTCCCACCTTACCTGGTTTCCTACAAACAAGTAGGAAATATAGTGAATTTACCCTAAAATGTTCAATCTGTATTTATGTACCTTGTCAGTGTTTTGCTGTTGATTTTCTAAAAACAACATGATCAATAAATCATCCGAATCTACTTGGTTTAAGACTACCTTGATTGTCTGATGGTAATTTGTGGGTATGTGAGCTCGCCTGTGTGACCTAAGCATCAATCTCACCCACCCAACCCCTACTTTATCACCCCACCAGGGTCCACTCTTCTGTGTAATTTCTGTGGGTCATCCACCTTCCACCTCCGCTCACTGTGGGCTCCTTCTCTCTGCTT